GATGCCCTCATTAGCATCCTAGGCTTCGTGGGCTTCGTGGTGGGGACCTACCAAGCTCTGGATGAGTTGATTGAGTCCGGGAACTCTCTCCAGGTTTCCAACTCCACTATGTTTATTCAGTGACAGAGCCTTCCCTCACCCACGGTGACTTATGTGGTTTCACTTCGCCTTTTCTCTGGTCCAAGACACGAAAAATTCACCAGACACAAGGTGCAGCTGGTCATTTTTTAAAAAAACGACAAACCTTGGTCTTGGTCATCCTCTAGTTTTCCACCCAGTGGAGAACTCTTCCAAGGAAGCTTTTAGATCCCGCTCTCACTTTTTTGGTCAGTAGTGGAGCTATGCAAAGAGCAGCCACTAGGGGGCAGCAAGGGCCAGCTTTTGGTAGAAGAAACTCTTCCTGTTCATTTAGTAAATAGGTCACATCCTTTTCCTGTCAGTGACTGGAAACACGATGCTCACCTCAGCATCAAGATAGAGAAAGCCGAGGTGAGTCCCATGCTCAGGTAAAAAGGCACCGTCTGTGTTACAGAGAAGGACGCTGAACTTTCTAAACCACTAAAGTTTTAGCCCACCTCAGAAACCCAGCAGGTGAATAAGAAAAAAATCAGGGTCCAGCTGATGAGCCAAGGGCAGGAGGCAGCAGACACAGACGGCACTGGAGGTTTTATGCCTGAATTCTTGCAACTGCAATAAACATTCTCGATTGCCTGCTGGTCACCAGACATGATATGCGGTTCTTACATAATAGTTTGGGTAAAAGTGTTATAAGTACCCTGTGACGATGGAATGTTGCAGCTCCAGCCACCAAGTGGTGGTTTACATGTCACCCCTTGAGTCTTGACCTTGTAACTTGCTTTGACCAACAGTAAATGTTTGGTGAGGGCTTCCACCCTGAGACTGCCATCTCTTTCTGCTCTGTGAAGCTCATTTGTTTTAGGGGTGTGTGTGTGTGTGTGTGTGTGTGTGCGTGCGCGTGTGCGTGTTCGTGTGTGTGTGTGTGTGTGTGCATGTGCGTGTGTGTGTGTGTGCGGGCATGTGTCCTCAAAGGCCAGAGAAGAATATCAGATCTCTTAGACCTGGAGTTAGAGGTGGTTGTGAACGAACTCAGGTCCTCTGCGAAAGCAGCAAGTGCCATTAACCCTTGAGTCACCTCTCCGGCCCCTGATATTATTGTTGAGATCTAACTGGCTATAGCTAAGTCTTGGAATGCATAAAATAAGAAGCCCTGATGTAAGGGACGGATGCAAGCTAGGGCTCATTAGCAATTATCCACATCGTCTCAACTACCGGTGAGCGTAGCTGAGTGACAGCTCTATTTCCAAGTTGTAGGTACTATCTCTTTACTCAGACCTGTACGTGAGCAAGAATGGACACGTGACTTTTCCCCATCTCGACTAGAGAAGCCTTCCTCCTCCTCTTCCTCCTTTGGGGCAGAATTTTCTTGGTTGTCAGGAGGCTGTCCTCGAATGCCTAAACTTCCTGCCTCCCTCTCCTGGGATTACTAACACGTTTCACCACACCCAACTCAACTCCCCTTAGTCAAGGAGTACAGAAGATTGTGTGTAATCACCCTGAAGACACACCCACAGACGAGGTGTGTTTCCAGAGAGGATTGACGAGAGAAGCACAAACCCCTCTTGGATATGGGCAGCTCCATCCCAGGGGCGGGGCTGTGCACTGAATAGAAAGAAAGAAGCAAATTAAGTGTGAGCATTCCTCTCTCTCCTTCTCTCTCTCTCTCTCTCTCTTTCCCTCCCGCCCCCTAGCTCTTTCTCTGTGTCTCTTTCTCTCTTTCCCTCCTCCTCCTCCTCCTCCTCCTCCTCTCTCTCTCTCTCTCTCTCTCTCTCTCTCTCTCTCTCTCTCTGTCTCTTTCTCTCTTTCCTTCTGTGTGTATGGTGTGCACGTGTGTCTGTGTGTGTGTGTGTTTCTTGATTGTGGCATATGCCCAGGTGCCCCACGATCCTGCCACCACGCTGTCCCCACCTTGATGAACTGTGTCCTCAAACTGGGAGTCAAAATAAACCCCTTCCTTCCTTGAGTTGCTTCTGTCAGGCATTTGTCCCTGGAGTGAGACCAGCTCCTGAGGTCTGTATACATCGCCATTTTCGGTTGGGGAACCAGGCTCAGTTTGCTGAGGACCAACAGAGTGACAATAGGGGTGTAACCCAGGCATTGAGTGTCGTAGCTCCTGCTGCTCTGCCAGGCCTAAAGAAAGGTCCTTGGACAAAGTGAAGGTGGAAAGTCAAAGAGGAAGTAGAAAAAGATATTGTGTGTCTGTGCGTGTGTCTGTGCATGTGCGTGCGTATGTGTGTGTGTGTGTGTTTGTGGGTGTGTTGTCTGTCTGTGTGTGAACTCAGAGGGCAACTTTGAGAATCTGATTTTGTCTCTCTCCATATGAATCCCAGGGATCGAGCTCAGGTCATAAAATTGGAGGCAAGTATTTCTACCTACTGATCCATTTCACTACCCTGTGCGCCAGATTTGGTTTTGGAGACAGGGTCTTAACTCTGGCTAGCTTGGAACTTTCTGTGTAGACCAGGCTGACCTCAAACTCAAAGAGATCAGGTTGCCTCTGTCCCCGCCCCCCACCACCACCCCATGCACGGCCATGCCCACTCATCTGAAAAGTCTCTGTGAATTAACAGCCCTGTGAATGCACAGTGAACCATGTGCTTGGTGACAACCAATGGTGAGACGATGGTCTCATACATATACTAGTACCATAAACTCTTTTCCAAAAGCAAAATTGCCACATGGTGTTGGTGGCTGTCTGGGGAGCAGGGGACGCATGCCAGCACTTGGACACTCCAGAGAAGACTGTTGACTCTGGGGTGTGGTTTCTACCACCTTCTCCCTCATCCTTCCTATAACCTGAGCACAGCATTTGTGACCTGTGACCCTGCCCCTTAGCTGAGTGTTTATTGTCTCCTTGTACAACCTGCGCAAGTGCTGATTCCTTAACCCAGAACCACAGGAAAGAGGAAGCCTTCTTCACCGCTGATGGGACTGCCAGCTGGTGCTGCCATGGTGAAAATGGGACAAAGCAAAAGCAGCAGAGCTTTTGTGACCCTGTCAGACTATTTTCAATATAATATCTGTATTAATTCCTTCAGAATTTCACACATGCATACCATGTATTTTGATCATATTCTCCTTTCACCCCCACGACTTAGCTGGGGCTTTTATTGCTGCAAAGAAACACCATGACCCAAAAGCAAGTTGAGGAGGAAAGGGTTCACTTGGCTTGCATTTCCACATCTACTCCATCATTGAAGGAAGCCAGAACAGGAACTCAAACAGGGCAGGAACCTGGAGGGAGGGGCTGATGCAGAAACCATGGAGGGGTGCTGCTTGCTGGCTTGCTTTCCATGGTTTGTTCAGTCTGCTTTCTTAAAGAACCCAAGTTTACTGGCCCAGGGATGGCCTCACTCACAATGGGTTGGGTCCTCCCCCATCCATCACTAATTAAGCAAATGCTTTACAGGCCTGCCTACAGCCCAATTTTATGGAGACTTCGTTTTAATTGAGGTTTCCTCCTCTCAGATGCTTTAGCCTGTATCAAGTTGACATAAAACTATGCAGCACATTCCCCCAGCCCTTCCAGATCCACCCTCACTCCCCACTTTCCTCCCAACCTTGCTGCTTCTTCCTTTGTAATTACCCACTGAGTCCAATTTGTGCCGCCCATACACTCATGCGTGTGTGGCTGTCCACTGGAGCATGTTCATCCTATTAAAGCCACAGCAACTGCCAGGAGCCCTCTGTGTGTGTGTGTGTGTGTGTGTGTGAGAGAGAGAGAGAGAGAGAGAGAGAGAGAAAGTTCTAGGCAGGGCTACTAGAGATCCTATCTCAAAATTTAACAATAACAACAACAGCAACAACAATATAGTATCCAGAGGGGTTAGCAAGATGGCTCAGCTGGTAAAGGTGCTTGCTGCTAATTCTTCCAACCTGAGTTTGAACTCCTGGCTGCACGTTTGGATGCTGAAAGGAGAAAACTGACTCCACAAGCTATCCTGACCTTAAGCACACCGTGGCATGTCCCAAATAAACAAATCTTTTTACAAAAAGAAAAAAAGAATAAAAAAATAACTTCAGAATTCACCCACTTTGTCTCCCTGCCATCTTGCTGTAAAATCACTGCTCACGGCACCCTAGGCAGGAGCTCCCTGGGTGATCTCATTGTTAAAACCACAAATAACGGACAGAAGTAGTTTATGGTGGAAAAGGTTTATGTTGGTTTGTGGTTCCAGAGGGTTTTCAATCCATCCTGGTGGGGATTATGGGTGTTTGTTTGCTTGTAGAGACAGGGTCTCACTATGCCCTGGCTGACCTGCAACTCACTCTGTAGACCAGGCTGGTCTCAAACTCACATAGATCCACCTGTCTCTGCCTACTGAGTGTTGGGATTAAAGACTTCTGCTACCATGCCCCAGTCAATTGTGTGTGTGTGTGTGTGTGTGTGTGTGTGTGTGTGTGTGTGTGTGTGT